ACGTGTGGCAAATGCGCAGCGAGAAGCAGTTTCTTCGACACTCCAAACGACTGTATTGTTCTGCCGATTTAAGGTGATGACCTCTCAGTTGGCTGTTGTAACTCAGCTTCAATAGGTGATGGCAAGGGTGTTTAGTGTTTTTTAATATTTGGTAAACGACGATTAGATCACCACGCAAATGCTGAAAACGTTCACTGAAAATGCCAAGTACTGAGGCGCTGTTCGTATGACAAATGGCGTGGCCCCGACATTTTTGGTCGCCCGACGTTGTGGAAAGTTCAAGGTCGTGAGATCCTGCTTCAGTCATGGGTGCCACGCTTGAATTGCATGTTCAACACGTGGAAGTATATAAGCGGGAAATATCTGGCGGAAAATGGACGGTTCCAATTGCCCGGAAGCTCTCCGAAATAGTCCCACTAGTTGAATGCCCTTGTACGATGCTTCGCTGGACTGTTCCGAGCAGCCGAGATTTTCCTGGACAACACACCGAGATCCCTTTCGAGAGAACCGTGTTGCAGATCCTGGTCCCTCAGCTTATATGTGTGAAACATTCGGTGTCTTAAATGGAGCCCTCGACATTTAACCACATTGAACAAAGGGCGATTTTGGACCGACCATCCATAAAGCTTGTCAAGGTCGATTTGAAGCTGGATACGGCCTTCTGGAGCTCTGTTCACTAGCCAAACTTTAGTGTTCTGGGCGGAGAGTAAACATTTGGACAAAATTTGATTCACTAGATCATTTATGAAGACCAAGCATAGACGGGGCCAAAGTACCGAACTCTGTGGCACTCGGCAGTCGACGTGAGTTGGGTCTGACATGTATTCACGTACACTCACATCCAGACTCCTGTGTGAGAGAAAATTGCAAATCCACCCGAGGACGGGGTCCCCAATGCCAAATCCTTGAAGTTTGACGAGAAGGATACGATGTTCCAACCGGCAGTGTGTCTTAGAGAAATCAAGGTAAGCCACATCAACTCCAGCACCAGCGTCAACTGTTTCGGTCCAGCTGTGGCGTGCTAACAATAGATTGGTTGTGAACAACCGATTCTGGAGGAAGCCGTGTTGCTGCTGAGCAATTTAACCAACGCCGTCCAGAAAAGACATGAGTGAGTCGGCAATGATAGCTTCGATAACTTTTGAAAGAACTGGCAGTAGATTCTCTAAGTCTGAATGACTACCCCCTTTGTAAATGGGAGTTGTTATTCCGTGCTTCCACATCGCAGGAACCTGGCGATCGTCAAACAGTGTTAGAACATCCGCTCCAAAGGTTTAGCCATAATAGTAGCCGCCACAGCAATCGGCTTTGGGTGGATGTTGATAATTTCTGGACAGGCGTGCAAGTGCATGGTGAGAAGCTTTCTCATCACGATGTCCGCCGTAAACTTTATTTGATTGAGTCTTGGTGTGGGCACCATAGATTCCAAAGATTCAGGAGACCATGAAATGCAATGAAACATTGGTACATACTGTTGTTGCAGAACATTCGACACTTCTGTAGCAGTCCAAGTTAGACCATCCGCTGTTTGAAGAAGGGGAAATCCACTTTTCACCTTGCTGTGGATGTTCACGTGATTGTGTAGAAGCTTAGGATTTGAAATTAATCGCTCCGCTAAAGCATATTGATAAGTTACTTTGTCCTCGCGCACTAATTGGATACGGCGGTTACAGTGGACAACGTATGCCTTCCAGGAACTCGGACTCAAATCGGTTTTGTGGGTATACCACGACGCGTTGCGCATCACCATGCGTTTGCTTGTCTTACTCTGCATAAACGAAACCATGTTTCTCGAACTGATAGTCTTAGTTTCCGATGCTCCACTAACCAGGGTATAAAACATACTGACGTCAAGTTTCCAGGCAATGACGGGTGCATCTTTGGCTAGGAAACTCTAGTCGGTTGTTTCAACGAGTCGGGTTAAGGTGTCGTAACTTGTTGCGATTCGCGGTGTTTTAGTTCGGTCCTCGGGATATTCAGCATGACAAGTGACCTTGAAATGCAAAGTTGTATGATCACTGCGGCTTAGAAGAGTATCGATTAGCACTCTCTCGCTCCTCGGTCCTTCATTAGTGTACACCAGGTCCAATATGAATGGCCTGTTATTTCCCCTGCAGCTGGTGGGCGAGGTGACGTGGCCATAACGTGAAAACTCTGCGACAAGGTTTTGCAGGTTTGCTTTGAATTGCTCTCATGGTGTGTCCTGGAATTCTAGAGTATATAAGTTGAAATCACCGGCGACTAGGTTGTTTCTGTACTTCCTGTTTATCGCCTGCCTCAGTGTAGCCACCACGTTACAGTCCATCTCAGGTGTAGACGGTGGTGGGCGGTAAACCACAACCACTAGGCCAAGATCCTTCCTCTCAGCCGAAAGCTGCACCAAATGGAGTCAGGTACATAAGTTTCCGAATCGCGTATGGGTTCGCACTGAAGGTTATTACAAAAGTAGTGGGCTACCCTACCACCTTTGCTGGCTCAATCATTCCGGACAACGGACATACCTGTTAGCGCGATTTCGGCATCCGTTATCTCATAACGCAACCCTGATGGCGATGAGGTCCCAAGCTGATGATGTGTGTCGAAGTCTTAATTCAGCTAATTTGCTGAGTAGACCTTACGCATTTGTGTACATGCATGAGAGCTTCTCGGAGATCAAAAGTGTGTTGGATGGAATGGACGAAGCAAGTGCTCAATAAGTTCGCATCCGAGGTCAGCCTTGTAAAGTAGAATTGCACCACCACTGCTTACAGTCCTATCGTTCCGAAGCAGCGACATGCCAGGTGCACTGATCTCAGGAGTGCTTATCACGACCTTTTACCGGGTCTATGTAATCCTGATAAGGTCTCTCGGTTTGAGGTGTGATGCCCTCTTTGTTCGACCAAATTACGTAGAACGCCTTGGGTGTTAGTATACATACAGAATAGTGTTTTGAATTTTAGGAGTGTGGTGATGGGTGTCAAACGTTTGTTTGTTCTAAAGCCGAACGTTAGGTGGCCAGCCCTTACTAGTCTTTTTGGTTGGTAGTGGTTAGTTGGATTTAAATCAAGCCGCATGATCCCGTAGTATGTTCCGGATCAGAATGTTTACTCGTGCTTCACTACGTCCTGCTGTGTGCCGTGAGTGCTGTTGTGTCGACATCTCCACAGGACTGTGGAGACGGGGAATTTACGGCGGTTGAAAGTTCCATCGAATTGTTCAGCAATGGTGGCCGCATCTCGGTTAGCAACCTGTCACGAAACTTCGTCCATTTATCCAGCAGAACTTGCAGCATTCCTTCGGAGTGTAACACACGTTAGATCAATCTTAGATCACAACGCTGCAGTTAGGTTATAAAGGAATGCTTTGCAACGATATAGAGATAACGTTGTCAGCAGGAGTGCTTCGCGGATGTAGCACCACTGCTGTCAATCGTATGTATGCGCTTCATGTTCAGCAGAAACCGAAGGATCTGGAAAACTGCGAACAATGTTGATTTTCTGCTATCGTTTTTAGGAAGGCCGTCTTAGTTATCCCATTACCTTGAGGAATCTTATAACGTTAGATCGAGAAATATGCGCATGCTGCTCGGTGAGCTGCGAAGTTATACTGCTGAGAGTATGTCAGCAGTCGTCCCCATCTGCTAGATTCAGCCTTACACAAAGAATTCTCGATCCACCACTATGTAGTAAATTTGGTTTATGCGCAACGCGTCTCTGTATAGTGGATTCAACTTGGATACAATCGCGTTGCAGATGGAATCCCACGGGTTGCGATCGTCTAGCAACTTACGTTTAATTGTTCTAGATTTTGACTCAAGAACATTAGGGCCCACGCAGGTTGGCGCACTGTAGTCCTTCCTAGCAAATACCGGTTTGAGAGTTGCTGCTGGTGAGTTGGACTGTCTAGGAGAAGCCACTGGAAGTGATGGTGAAAGATGCGTCGCACCGCTTGTACTATGAGTGTCACATCCAAGGTTTTCTCGATGCGGCCGGTACGTAGGATACCAGCTTTATTCTGAGCAGCGTTGCCTCCGGCCCGAACTGCTTCCATGAATGGGGTTGTAGCAGTCACGTCGATGTGAGTTGCCCGATTAAGAGGTTAGTATTTGGCAGATTGATTGACGCAGATGCTATGGGTTGGTGAGCTAGACGGACTTTACTCCTTGACCTAGGGACGTAGCTCAGAGGGCGTTTCTGAAAATCAGGATAGGTTTTCTTCCATTCCGATGGTGAAGCAATGAGACTCGTCATCTGATTAATTGCTTCAGTTAATGTTTCATACTTTTCATGAGCACGATTGTAAAATTGACGATTGGAACAGCTCTGCATACTTGTCAAATCGTTGCGTCTTTTTGATCCTAGTTGACGTACACCACCGCATTTGAGGTGGAACGGAATGGCGCAGTTAAAACAGGCCAAACTTGTCCTGACCACGCGAGGGCATTCCCAGTCCCCGCATTTATCGATAAATGAAATCCTGTTCAGTGGTGGCTGTTATTGCATTATTTACCGTGCTTTTCTGCTCACAGACTACGGTTTCCAAGGGACAAATCATCTGCTTCTGAATTGGTCTGGCAGAAACCTGGACTGTGAAGCGGCACTTGTGCAAAGCAGTTCCCAGTGCACGTTGGAAAACTATGCGTGGTACCATAGGTAATAAATACATGTATAAGTTACGACGGAACTTTAAGAAAACAGTTGGAGCAATAACGTGCGGCCGGTTTAGCTGATAATGCAAAATACATTATACACTCAACCTCGTTGTCAGTAAGTGTGAATCGGGCACCGATAGAGCATTATGTGTTGTAGCAAAGTTTTCAATGCTTCGTGTGTGATAGGTCCTGCAGTATTAACGGTCGTTAGTTACAAAATGTGTGGAACTAATAGACGAGTTAAGTATAAACGTTTGAAAAAGCCCTCCAGGCCTCAATCATACCTCGTTTGGATTTTGAAATTAGAACCCTAGTTACAATTCGCACTGAGCTGAAGAAACTTTACCATCAAACATGTTCCCTTACTCACCTTTTGACTATCAACTGCCTTTCGGTACCTGGAAGACAAATGGGATACTTTTGACACGTTTGCGCCGTGAGATATTTTGCTAAGTCGCATCACTTCATCTGCCTATAGCAACTCTGCTTATCGTGGACCTAGCACCTGCCATTGGGACTGTTCTACAAGCGGTTGATACAGTAGGTTGCCGAGAGATGCTTAAGAAATTACACGTAGCAGCATACACTGCCAGTTACCTGCTACTGTGAGTTAAGAACCATTCGAAAACCATGACAATAATGATTGACGTAGTCAAATTGTGGTGCTAAAACAAGCATCAAATGCCATCTCAAGGTTGCTTGATAAATCGATTCAATATGCAAACCTAGCGGTGTGGGCGTGCGCATGACACTTAAACGAGACACACCACTATTAAAGGTTGATCCTACGCCCTCTCAAAAGTATGCGCGTGTGGCGCTGACGCGCAGCCCATCTCAAAGGGATTACTGTCGTCAAGATACAGCTGCGTATCGCCTGCAGCGTAACGAGGTATGGTTTCAGTTCACATACCCGTCTAGTTAAGCCGATGCCAGGCCCCGCAAAATAATTGAGCTACAATGAACGTGTGTACGCCCTTGTGTACACCGCTTGAGACGGTACAAACGCTCAGGTTAAATGTCAAGCTTCCTCTTTAATTCACGATGCATTACAAGTGCATGAGGCTCACTTTATTGATTGGGAGTCTTATTCATTATGTATTTAGGTGCTAGGATTCCTGGGTCCGCAGAGAATCTGAGTTCCGTCTAGGAACGCCGCGCGTTTTAAAACAACGGCGACGTAGTCTGTTATTTTTCAGAATAGGAGAGATTTGAGACCCATGTGGTGGACAATTCACAAGCATATGATATCCGTTAGTTTACTGTGCTCCAGGTACATAGGGGTCATGGCTCTTAGGAAAGTCTTTTTCCGGAAGTATACAAGCACTCTGTACCACTCACACAACCGCTGGTGCATATCCGTTGTGAGGCAAGGCATTATACCTTCCGTCGCGCTCTGCCTCCCAGAGCGACCGTAGGCGTCTGAATTGTTAACGAAGTATAAGTGTTGTTTATTCTGCAACCGTTTCTCGGCCGCATTCAGTTCGAGACGGAGTGGAATATTTATTGAAATCCGCTAGCGCCATTTTCCCGAGCAGGATGAGTGTATGGGTCACAAGTAATAGCAGAATCAAGCAGGGACTTACGTGCACTATGCCCCTTTCCCTTTTGCTTCGCAGTCGAACTTGTCGTACCCGGATGTCTTGGATCTGAAACATACAATTTATCAGGAAGACTATGCCTTCAGCGTATTACGCAGCATTGTTCACGCGGGTATATGGTGAAGGGAAGGGGAACAATTAATGAGAATCTTCGTAATCTCTGGTAAAAAAAGTGGCAACCGCTGGGTTACAGTCATGTCAGATTGAATGTTTTTACCGAAGGCAGCAGCCGCTACTTGATTCTCCACACGACATAATTTTTGATAGGTAAAGCAATCCTAGCTAATCACTATATGTACGAGGGACGTCCAAGCTAATCAGGTTGTCCAAAATAGTGTAGTGGGCAACAAATTTCAGGTAGTGCAAACTGCTCTTATATTTCAGCTGTGGTTAAACACTTCTCCTAGCGATTCACTAGTGCTTAGATGGTTTTAGCATAGAAAGGTTTGTCAGTAGGTCTGAAACAGCTTAAAAGAGTCCGCCCCGCCTCCTCCCGGTAGAAATGCTGGCCTCCAAAGAACTCCAAATGTCCTAACAGGTGAAAATCGCTTAGCTATTAGTCAGTAGTATATTGGGAGTTTGATGAGGTGAAACATGAAAGGTTAGCATTCCATGTAAAGACAATCTCTCATTTCATGTCAAGCTGCAAATCGTCTGTACGGGTTGAAACCGGAATACTGTTCTGGAACCTAAGAGGCGGTTACTTTTCGGAACACCAAATGATCCTAAACACTCTGTTTACTGTTCCACACGAAAAATTAGACACGTCTGCCATTCCACGACAAGCTATACGACGATCACCAGTGTTCAGGTGCTCAATGCGGCGAACGTTACCATAAATGATTGCCGAGGGTTGGATCCACCACGACACTTAAGGTCAACAGCAGACAGAAAACCATCTTGCAGCGATAGCACTGTTTAGTTGCCTGACATTGTCTGGATGTCTTAGCGCATTACCATAACCGAAGCCTACTGTAAATTCAGGGTTGATTTACACCCTACCTCAGTAGTAATTTTATCACGACATGTACAAGACCACCTTGCTGTCCTCCTAGTGATAAGTGAATGGGAGCGTCGGGTCATAGCAGTAACGGAACACAACTGGCAGCCCCTAGCACATGCACTGCCGCTGCCTCAGGCTCCGATTTTAAACAACAAACTCACAAATGGACCTAGACAACGCACTCCAACTTCGTGTCAAATGACACTCAAGTATTCAACCGCACTACTCGTGTCATCAGGGCGGAACCGATCGGAAAAGTGCATCAAATTCCACTGGATAAACATGTGCGTCATCACTAATGCACCTCCGCAGACTCAACATTTGTGACACTTAGACTGAATGAAAAACCTGTCCGAAATCCATTCGATGATCAACATTGTGCTCTTCACTTGAGCAAGATGGTCAGTCAGGAGACAATTTCTTATATATATATATATATATATATATATATATATATATATATATATATATATATATATATATATATATAAAGTCAACCACATCTAGACTCAGTCAGACAGTCATCACAATCCCGGAAAAGCCCAGTGCGGCCATTTCATCCTATCGGAAAACATCAGCAGTGTGCAGTCCATCTGACCCTTGTGGGGCTAGAACCCGTAACCCGACTGTTACCAATCAGTGGTGAAGACCGCTGGGCTACGGGGAACCATAACTCCAACGTTTGCTGAACGGCACCTTGGCTTCTGCACGGTAGAAAGGTGTAAGTCAGTGTGTAGTGAGCAACGCTTTGCTACATCTAATAACTTAGTCACTTCGGTCGACTTTCTGCAGATTCAAACCTGATGAATCTACTTTTACAAAGCGAAAGTGTTACGACATCTTTCAAGGAAAGTTGCCTTCAGATACTAGTTTCTATATATCTAGTCTTACTGGTGATGCTGTACTTCGCATTGAAAGGATTGAAGGTGTTCATATCCAACTGAATCGCCCTCCATGCCAGATTCATTTCGGATGCAGCAGACCTTCCGTCCTTGTCCGAAACAAGTATTTTCTGTAAAACTGCCAAAAGCGTACGTTGATGGTTCTGTTGGTTGAAGGACAACAGATGAAACTTCAAATGAAACTTTTGGAATCTGTGGTAACATGCAGTACCGCTAAAAATTCAAAGAAGATAGGAACAGCATTCGTAAGCTGGATAATAGACCTTACGGTAGCCTGGTTATTGGCCGATCATTTTTGTCGAAAAACGCAACAAACTGGAACCGCAGTGAGATTACCGTCAATACTAAGCAAGTGAGTTGAGTTAACAAATACCAACGATACTGATTCCCTTGGGGAAATTCCCTAAACGGACACAGAACTGGTGATGTTCTTATGTTAGATCTCCTTTCTGTGGCCAGGGCACTAAAACTGTTAGCAACCGTTCAGACCTGCCGGTATGCAAACCTTCGTTGACTGTACCGGTGTGCAAATATTGTGTGCTGCGATGGCGAGAGCTCGGATTAAAGGTATTTTATGCTTTAGAATAGGGGTGTACTACCTAGTCCATATGTGGTTTCTGTGCACCTTACCACCACGAGATACGTCTGAGTGACGGATGACTTCTACATCCAAAAAGGTAACCGGTTTCCGAACTCGTATTCGCAGATGAACTGGAGGTTCTCATGCGCGTTATTAACGGCTTTCAGCAACTGCACCGCATGCGATAGTGTTGTCAACATGACGTAGGTACATTTCCGCCCCACCGATATGTTTACTAAGTGGACCACGGTCTACTGCTACCATAACGATATCAGCTAGAAGAAGCCCCAAAGATGATCCCGTGACCACTCCATCAACCTGAGGGTACAGTTTGCCATTGCAAATGAAGTGAACGTTTAACGTGCATCGAATTAGTAGCTCCTTTAGCAAATTTTCCGAAATGTTTCGTATATGAGCTGTTGCCGAGAAGGCTGGCACGCACTCCACCGTTTCGAGCAGCGGGATGTTTGTGAACAACGACTGGGCATCGAACGGTATAATCCCCTCGTTAGCATGGTTGAGTACAGTTATATCGTCAATAAATTCAAAGGCGTCTCTCATGCAGTAAGTGAAAACCATGTTCCAAATAAGCAGCAGATTTTCGACCATCCATGTGCGAACAAATGCTGGGGTAAACCCACCGTATCTAAGGCTGCACGGGATCTAATTAAGTCCCAACCCAAATCGCTATCCAGTATCGATTTTCCTCATCCGGAACGCCATGGACTTCCAGTCCAGCAAGAGGAACTTGACACCTTCGACCTAACTTTTGGTGTTCAGTTAAATATATAAATAAATAAACATGTTATTCCTCGGTACTGCGAGGCACAGACCATTTGAGTGGTCTGCTCAACTCGTACAAAGTGATCGCATAATACAGTTAATTTTACGTATTTCATATAATGGTTCCCATATGGGTTTTTTAAGTGGTTAGCAGTTTGCAAATATAAGAGAGATTAAGAAACTGGGATCAATAACAAATGTAGATTTCACGGAAAGTTCAAGTAAGGTAATACGGCCATCCATGGAACTGTCCCCAGTGGACCTGCTTCCATGCAGGGTAATCCCTCGATGGGGTTCACCCGCACTTCCATCCTCCAGCTGGCTCTGTGCCGGTGTAGCAAAATAGTAAATAGGCCATCAAGGATGCGCCTGCCCTCGACAATGTAGAAAACCAATCCGTGCTCGTTGGTTCAAATGAAACTGGCCACTCAACTGTGTTATGCTGACCTAGTTTAGATCAACCTTGCCGAACTTTTGCTTTTCTTAATACGTCCTTCTGTGTCTGAATTTCCTTCGGGTCATTACAACTTATCGACTTTAGATGACCGAATCTGCCATATAGTATCCATTACTTTCGTCAAGGTAACGCACGTTCCAACAGGCTTGCGCAAGCGGCGGCCACGCTTTTCTCACTATTGGCACAAGCGCTGCCACTAGGTTGGACCAACAAATTACTCGAGCTCCGCTTCCGCTCCGCTTACGGGCATACTGTTGCCAACCCGATGACGGTACGGAAGAGAGTAAGGGGAGGCTAAGCGATGATTTGGTTGAGAGGATGGAATACCCTCACATAGAAGTAGGCGTCGGTTAGTGCATTCCAATTGCCAGACTGGGCCCCAACAGGAAGATCATGTTTGATTGGACTCACTTGCTGCTGTCCCTGTGGCGTTTGTGTTAAGAGATTCTTTGTCCATCCCGTCTTAATTAGATTCCCCCTCCAAACAGGACAACATGGCAAACGAATAACATAATATGTAACATTACATTACCTGTTTCTGAATATAATGTGGTGAAATTTTTAGAATCTTAGCTTGTTTGCATGGCGGTAGATTAGCTGAGGTGGGTTTCTCAACCTCAGATAACGTGTATTGATGCTGAGGATGACAATGATGACAACGCTAAAGATGATGATATGCTATGATGATGATAAGGATGATCATGAGGAGGAGGAGGATGATGATGTTAGAGTTGAGGATGGTGTTTATGATGATGATGATGCTGATGCTGATGATGATGATGATGATGATGATGCTGATGATGATGATGATGATGATGATGATGATGATGATGATGATGATGATGCTGCTGATGATGCTGATGATGATGATGATGATGATGATGATGATGATGATGATGATGATGATGATGATGATGATGATGATGATGATGATGATGATGATGATGATGATGATGATGATGATAACGCTGATGATGAGTGCATACCGCTCTATGTGAAATTTACATATGTCACTAGCCGTGATGATTAATCGGGGCTGCGCAACCTAATTTTCGTCTTTTACCTGATGGTCCATGTGTATTTGTTGAAATTCAATCTTCCATTTGCTCTGCTCTGGCTTTAAGTTCTTCTTGTGGTCTGTGTTTCGTCTCGTGTGTGTGGGTTAAAACCCACAAGACCAGTCATTCCCTCTTGGGGGTCGGTCAACAAAGACCTTGTGGTCGTTTCCGACTTTTGAACAACTTTCCACACTAGCAGTACTGTACAACCCACAAGTTCTTTAAACAAAATTGGGTTACACTCGATTTCGCCTGACTTACCGCTGGTGCTGAGATCGTGATAAGTGTCTGCGTTCCACAAACATTCTGATAGCTGTTATACACATTGTAGGCTAGATTTGTACCTCGACCACATTCAGTTGATTTGTGGTTATTGTCTACGGTTGTCCCTTGAACAGTGTATTTAGTAGGGAGACTAAACAGGTTACTTTTATTAACTGGTTTTGAATGTAGTGGGTGAAATAGCCACGCTACTAGCGGGAGCAGGAAAAACCGGCGTGCCGATGGTACTGGGTTTGTGTTAAAGTACTCGTAAAATGTTTCACACTGAGTCGTATTTATATTTACGTTCAGGGAGTGCTAAGGGTTTCCGAACAGTCAACTTGGATCACTGGGATAATATGCGACCAGTATACACTTTCCGAACACATGTTTGCAACTTTGGGTGGGACATGTGATAGGGAGGGGGCAGATTGCCCCCCCCCCCGGACTCATCACCACAGCGTTCTCTCACTTCGGAATTACGCGTATCACTGGGATTGCTTATGTAATTGGTTCTGCTAGCACATCCAAATTACCAGAAACATGGTGCTGAATTGCCCTTTCTTGCATAAAGCTCAACAGAATGTTCTATTCGTACTATTAACAATGGTTTTTGTAGTGCCTAATATCATCTAAAAGGCAATGATCATAACCATTTGGAAGCGTTTACCATTGGATCCTATGACATAGTCTGAATGTCACAAACGTATGGTTTAACAATACTAACCTTTATGGCGTCAAGACTAAACTAGTAAATTGACACATTTCGCGTTTTCTCTACGGCCGTTGAGCACCACAAAGTACGAACATTTGTTTCTGTCTATTTCAGTGGCAAATTTTCAAGTTGGTATGCGTAACTTTTATCTATCGTCCAGTCGCCCTTAAGATTTGGATATACCACGATAGGATCCTGTAGCACCCATATCCATCTTCGTTTCAGCCGTTAGTTAAGGTAGCCAGCTATCAGTGGATGAAACAGAGTGCCAAGTCTCATTCTGTCTACCAGACAGCAGGGAATGTTACAGGAATCATTCATGCAATTGAATGAGGAGCATTTCGCGGTGGTTTGCCAGATTGACACGGCTGAGTTCTAACACTAAACCAGTTCACAGTTTGAGCAACACTGTTTGATGGAGTTGGTAAACAGTTGTTGCAGTTAGGAATGTGTATAGAATACGCTTCAGTCTGACCTTAGAAAACGCATCTATCCATCAGTTTCAAGTTGTAGCTTCGTCACTTATCTCTAGATAGAACTACTTGCTTCCAATTATGTAATCAGTGAAGACAGTTGAACTTCTTCCATGTACCCATAGCGGACTGATGAGAACTGAACACAGTAGGGCTTACCTTATTCTTGATTCTACCCAAGTCACAGGATTTATCTCCTCCACTTGGAGACAGAAAATGACACATATTCCTGTGTTTCTCTTGGTATGATTTCAAAATCCATGAAGCGCATCCAGTCAACTGGAACTCAGGGGAGGATAACTGCAATGAAGAAATAGCGTTTTCCACATCCGGTTTAAACTCTTCCCCTCTGACACCGGCTGTGTTGATTTCTGAAGCTGCTGAGGGCCATTCATCCGGATTGCTCAGACACGCCAAGGCCACACCGAATTCATGCATGCTTTCGACTAAATGATCACTATACTGGCGAAGACTGAGTGGGAGCGTTGTCAGCCCAGTGGACAATATGTGGTCTTCATCACCCAAGTACAGATAGGGCGCAGCTGCTTCTGCAGAATTGCCCGATGATTTGTGGATCAGCGTAGAACAGGGTCCAAGTTTTTCATCAACGTTGTCGCTGGACGAAGTTTGAGCTGCCCCGAGTACTGTAAGGTTATATCCGAGCGGTGAGCTGATATTTATGGCGAAACTATGTCGACCAGATGGAAGAAACAAAGACGCTGCACGACTACCACTGACTTGCAGCCGCTTGACCGGTTCACCCAGTCGGGGCGGAAACCAATGACATGTTTCAATCACCACGGTAACAACTGATGGAGCTCGTGTTACCTGATTTTCCATGACTAAAATGAAGGACATGATTGATCAGATTAATATGAATTCATTTATCGTAATTCGTTTTTCTAAGCCAACAATCAGTATTTCCCCCATATCACATATTTCCACTTTTCCTAATTCACGTGTTATCCGTAAAGAACAAGTGGCTCAAGGCGGAATGGCCACCGTCCCATATCTTATGCACTACTTTCCAAAGTCCAAGAAAGCGAAAACAATGTACTGTAGCTAAGGCTAGTTGTAAATCTCTTTCTCCGAATTTGTGTGCAGACGAGATTTATAGTGCGACCTTGTCTGGCGATCTCGTGCGATGCGTGGACACAAGTACGTAAACCCTGCACCAACATCCAATCCGCACCTAGACAGGGAATAAACGATAAGCTCAACCGATCAGTTTATGACATTGACTTTATACGGATTAAGAAGCACTATTTTACAAGTCCCGTTAGGTGGTCTAGTGGAGTGATGGAAAAGTGGTAACAGACGGTTGGTATTTATATATCAACATAAGGATATTTCGTTTGTTAGATTGTAGTCTTGCACTCCGCGTGGTTTCACTGCAATGAAAGGTAAGAGTTAATAAATCCAAGGTAAAACCCAGGAGCAAAAGAGAGCTCAAGTAATAAAATGTAAGTTGTTTGGTGCGTCATCCAACCGTCTTTTAAAAATAGATAGTGGCGGCGCAGAAACCACGGATTCAAGGAGAGAATTCCATGGCTGACACACGCGAATAGCTAAGAAAAATCTGCGGTACTCCAGACGGCTATACTGTTCTGCTAGCTTCTAGTAGAGACCTCTCAGGTCTGTGTTACTGCTGAGATGCGACAAACAGCGGCACTCATGACGCGGTTCATGCGGAATCAAGTAGGCTATTATGACGTTGCCTCGTTGTCGGCGCTACTGCTCGCTCAATACTCCCAAACGTTTCAGCCTATGCTCGTACGGGAGATTGTGCATTCCGATGATCTAGTTGGATGCCTCACTTTGAAGGTGGCCCAGTGCAGTAAGGTCCTGCTTCAGCAATGAATGCAGGCTTGAATTGCATATTCAAAGTGGGGGCAAATCTACGTACTGAGCATCTGTCGAAGACCGGAGAGGTCTATTTGTCCAAACGCCCTTTCGAAACAGCCGGATATGCTGTTTACCATTTTCCAATTCCTTTTCAGATTGCCCGGAGCAATCTAATTCTTCATAAACCAGCACACCAGGATCGCGTTCGACGGAAAAGCGCTACAGTACATGCGTCCCGAGCTTGTATGCATAGTAGCTCTGGCGTCGTATCGAGAGTAACGTGCATTTACTAACGTTGAAAAGCGGTAAGTTTTAAATTGACCACAGATGTACCGTGTCCAGTCTACTCTGAAGCAGATGTTGGTCGGAATTCCCCTGGATCCTGAGCCAAATGTTGATGTCGTCGGCAAACAGGGGGAAGGTTGAAGCGATTGGTTGTGTAAGGCCCGTAATATGTGCCAAAAACAATCGTTGACCTAGAAGTGAACATTGTGGTATAACGCGACTCGTATGGGTCCGATAAATAGTTCCGAACTCTGACCAATAATTGGCGCTGAAGGTGGAGGTTGGTTGTCCCGCATAAGAGAGGATCACCGATCCATATTACTTTACATTAGAAAGGAGTATCAGATGACATAGAAGATGCAATGAATTCGAAAAATCAAGGTAGATCACCTCAACCTCCTCTCCAGCTCCAGCTGATTCGCTCCAACTACGTGTGATCGCGGTCGACAGAAGCAGTGCTGCTCCGGAGTATTGCTTCTGCAGTTTTCCAGCTAGCACACCATAGTATCGGCAATCATGTATTCTATGAGCTTGGACGGTATATGGAGAAGAGATACTAGGCGGTAATTTGAAGGCTCGGTTCTACCTTCACCTTTGTGAAGCGGGGGTATTATTCCAAACACACATATATGTAGAAACCTGGTTCTGATCTAAGCAGCGCTGGAAGAACTGAACCAAGATTCGGTTAGTTATTTTGCTTCTGCCCCAAGTGCCTCTGAGCGCATGATATTGGCACCCGGGGAGTTGTGCTTGCTTAGAGACGCCAGCTTCCACAGTACAGCTTCGGCGGTAAAAGAGATGTGGCTAACTTTCGGCGTTAGCGCAACAAAAGCTGGAAGACAGTCTGATGGTAAGATCCTCTGAAATATGGGGGCATTTGCTGCTTCCGCAGCAGTTCTTGTTGGGCCGTAGATCGTTTGAAGAGAAAATCGCTGCCCCACCTCACGCAGACTTTCGATTTGCCTCAACGATAGTTTGTGGTGGTGAGTATCTCCGCCTGTCACGTGGAAGGCCCGGGTGGCTTCAGTTTTGAACTGTGAGATCTCGATGACTGACTCTGTCCAGTTAGCCTGGGATAAATTTAAGTCATACCTTACGGAGGTTTCCACTCCCAATATTCGACTCATGAGGAAAAGAGGCTTACGGGCACAACCTCCATGGATAGATACCACAGGAAAGTACCTACTCAAGAAACGGCCTAGATTCTGGCGAACCTACGAAGCAGCTCCATCAGCCAGTATCTATGATGGTTATCGAGAGATTATAAATAAGTGTAAGCAACATCTCAGAACTGTTCGACTTCAGTACGAGTAGGGTTTAGCGGATTCGGCCGCAGCTAATCCCAAAAAGTTATTGCTCACTTTAAAAGACGCAGCGGGGCAAAACTGTCTATACCAGCATTATTGCAAGCATACGGGACCCGTGCGCAAACCGACTATGACAAGGCTTGTGTACTTAGTGATCAGTATAATAGGGGCTTTAGTCGAGAGACCTCTTTACCACAGATTGAAGTAGTTTCAAGCTTTCCAGGGGGATTCTTGCTTAGCTGAGTTTAACATAACGGAGACTCAGGTCTTCGAGCTACTGCAAGGCATTAATCCCTCTAAAGCTTCCGGTCCTGATTCAATTCATCCGAAGCTGTTGCGCGAATTAGCCACTGAGCTGAGTGGTCCTCTCACATGCGTGTTTTCAATATCGCTGGACAGCTGCATCCTACCTTCGGAATGGAAGGAGGCAATCATCTGTCCTATTTTTAAGGGCGATGACAGCGCTCTGACCACGAACTACAGGCCTGTCAGTTTGATAAGCGTAGTAGTCAAGTTGGAGGGTCAAGTTTGGAGTACACGTTGTGTGATTTGATTGCGACACGCAACCTCAATTTAATGGACTGTGATTCACATTGAAATGAACCTTAGTCACTGCGATCGCTGGGACCGTATTCAAAGTAGATGGAAATTGGGTATTGCCCACCCGAAAACACTGCACAGCCATGACGCGTTTCGATGTAATTTTTATCTCATCAGGTGGAGACAGCAGGATTTGAACCCACGACCATTGGAATAGCAGCCAACACTACTACCCCTTTGGCTACCGGGTCACGATGGGCAACACTTTTTGACAAAAAGGAGTAGTAGTGTTGGCTGCTATTCCAATGGTCGTGGGTTCAAATCCTGCTGTCTCCACCTGATGAGATAAAAATTACATCGAAACGCGTCATGGCTGTGCAGTGTTTTCGGGTGGGCAATACCCATTTCCATCTACTTTGAATACGGTCCCAGCGATCGCAGTGACTAAGGTTCATTTCAATGTGAATCACAGTCCATTAAATTGAGGTTGCGTGTCGCAATCCAATCACACAACGTGTAATCCAAACTTGACCCTCCAATTAGTCAAGTTGTTTGAAAAGCTGATAAGGGCTTCAGTGGAGAACCAACTGAATAGATTCAACCTTCTCAGTGTTGCGCAACTTGGATTCCGCAAAGGATTTTCATGTCAGACTTATCTACTTGTAGCTCGTGAAAGCTGGGCCGAAGCGGTAGAAAATCGCCACGCTGTAGACGTGGTTCGTGGACTTTTTGAAAGCTTTTGACACTGTTCCTCATCTTCGACTCTCACTAAAGTTGAGATCTTACGGGATATCTGGTTGTGCCCTTCAAAGTGTGTCTGCCTTCCTTGAGGGGAGGGAACAGTTCGTACGGGTAGGGCGTAGCCTTTCGCTCAGGCAAGCTGTCCTTAGTAGCGTCCCGCAGGGCCATTGTTGTTCGCGATCTGTGTAAATGACTTTCCGGGAGAGCTAGGCGTGTCATCACTAACGTTTGCTGACGAACTTAAGCTCTGGAATATTGTGGATATCCCGGGGGGTCCTGCGGCAATTCATGATGCGTTGGATAGGCTCTGGGAATGGTTTACCTTATGGTTGATGCCCATAAATAGGGCCAAGTGCTCTGCTGTCCGTATCGGAGCTGCTAATCCTCCCACCCGATGTGTTGTCGGCAGTAGTGAACTTCCTGTTGTCACTCAGCAGGTTGATTTCGGAGTCGTACACGCATCAGCACTTCATTCTGGCGACAATTGGAAGAAGGCTGCTTATCGAGGGTTTCGTATGGTGTGGTTTATCCTCCGCTCTTTTGGAATCCTAACGGCCAATTTGTTTGTGAAGCTATTCTGGGCATTCGTCCGATCCCACCTGGAATATTGTATCCAGACTTGTCCACCATGTCTTAACCGAGACAAAATGGACTTGGAGAGGGTGTTACTAGTGGGCACTCGGTTAGTACAGGGTCTACATGGACAGACATATCCTGAACGCTTGCTCAGTTTGGGGATGTACTCAATGCACTACCGAAAGATAAGAAGGGACCTGATTCCCACTTACCATATTTCGACGGATAAGATTGGCCTGGATTTGTCAGGACTATTTAGTCCCGCTACGTTACCTAATCTCCGCAGACACCCACTGAAACTGCATAAAACACGGTCTGATAGGACTAGGACAGAAACTCGTCTGTCGCGCCGTTATAGATCGCTGGAATTCGCTTCCAGATCATGTGGTTAGCGAACCTACGGTTAAGGGTTTGGCGCGCCAGCTCGATGCGCTTAGGTGACAACATCAAACCTTTCCTTTTCCTACCTGATTTATCTTCACTTTGCAGTGCTTTTTTTAATGACGCAAATATCTTGGCAGTCTACTTGCTTAGCTCTTTCCACTTTC